ATATGGCTAAAAAAAAAGAGGCAAATCAGTCATCTAGCAGGAATAAGAAACAACAGATGGATAGCACAAGCTGAGTGTTATGCTCATATACCCAAGAAATTAAAACAACCAGAAAAAAGCTTCCAGCATGGAAGTTTTTCAGAAATACATGAATAAGAGTAGTACAGGCTAAGAAGGCATAGATGACTTTCTATGTGTCCTAGTGGAGAAAGTATCCTCACAGATGAAATAATAGACCCACTAAAATATTCATATTTACTCAGAGGTAGACCAAATACTAGTAAGAGTTCATTTAATCCAATTTCTTCATTTAACCTGTGGGGAAACAGAAGCCCAAAGGTCAAGTGAATTACATCATTAGTGGTATCAGAGGCAGAATGATTAGAATACAGATCTATAAACTCCTAATCCAGTATTCTTTCTCCCATGCCTTTCCTGTTTTGATTGGGTAGAAGTGAAGAAATCACAGGGGTTCTGGACACCTGAAAGATCTCCACCAAAGGGAAAAAGGTTTATAAAGAAGAAGCTGGGAAGAAAAGAAAAGCTTCGTTTTCAGTTGGAGCCATTAACCTTCAAATAGACTGACAAACAGAAACTATATTCTCTAGTTAATATGTACCTAAAGATGTTTATTGAATTTTTTTTGTCATATAGTCTCAAATTCTGACAACTTGCTTCATATGATTTATTAAGTTTGGAAGGCTGTTTTTGTTTCATAAAATAGCTAACTTCATGTGAAGGAGTTTCATTTCTAGGGGATTTGTTAATTGAGTTATTATGACAGCTTGGTCATTTTAGTACACGAGCCTTCTATTTTCCCTTCACTATAAACATATACCTTCACTTATTTTTCCTTACTTTTCTAACAAACTTTCTTTGGAAAATTGCTTAGAGTTACCATTAAGAGGTAAATACTGCGTTCTTCCTTCACCCTTTTCAATGCCTCTGGCAACATAGTTAATTCATTTCAACAAGCAATTATTAAGCAAGACACTGTGCTCAGTATAGGGTGTTTGTTTTTCAATCATTTCAATCATGTGCAACTCTTCATGACCCCATTTGAAATTTTCTTGGCAAAGAAACTGGAATGGTTTGCCATTTCCTTCTTCAGCTCATTTTATAGATGAGGAACCTGAGGCAAACAAGGTTAAGTGACTTGCCCAGGATCACACAACTAGTAAGTGTCTGAGACCAGATTTGAACTCCGGTCCTCCCGACTCCAGACCTGGTCCTCTAGCCACTTCACCAACTATATGCTCTATGGGACAAACAGATTCAGAAACAAAAACAAAACAAAACAAAACAAAAAACAGTCCCTACCCTCAAGGAGATACTAGAAAGACACAACTTATATATAGATAAGTATAGTACAAGCAAAATTGAGGAAAGAAAGTGCACTAACACTTGGCAGAGGAATTAGAGAATCTTCAAAGAAGATGTGACACCTCAGAAAGAAAACAAAGATTCTGAGATTGAGTACATCAGAGGTTCCCAAACTTATTTGGCCTACCACACCCTTTTCAAAAAAAAAAAATTACTCAGTGTTCCCCTGGAAATCTGCTTTCTTTAACCTTTTAACGGGGTTAATTTTTTTAATTTGCATCATTTAAAAATACATAAAACTTTTGCTTAAATGACACATCCTAAATTTAACAATTTATTGTAAATTTGTGGGGTTTTTCTTGCATTGAAATTTTGAAGAAACAATATTGTGTCATGTAACCATAAAGTATTGTACTATAAACAAGTCATTACATGCACATATTCCTGCCAACACATGACGGACTTCCTGACAATACACAACATGCTCATCTGCCAACACTTGTTTGTTAAGACCTGTCTGCAGACTTGACCACTGATTGGTTATAACTTGCATTTTGTGTGTTTATTTGGAAAATAATGTAATCACTACAACTTTAACTCTGTTACGCAACAGATGAAACATGTACGAACAATTTTTTAAAACTCTCTTCTTTTCTTATGCTTCCACCGCCTCCTTATTTTTGTTCAATACTCCCTAATTGCACCCAAGGATCCAACCCCTGACCCTGATCGTTCCAGCACCCCCAGGGGGTGGTATCACCCACTTTGGGAACTATGGGGTAGATCAAGAAGACAGTTTCAGGCATGGGGGACAGTTTGTGCAGATACGTTAACCTAACAAATGAAGTGTTAAGTTCAGAGAAAGCTCATAACCCAGTCATGAAGATGAGTAATATGAAATAAGACTGGACAGGTAAGTGGGATCCAAAACACCAGTGTTGCTTAATGGCAGGCTAAAGAGTTTGTGCTTTATTCTATGGCAAAGCAAAGCCATTGAAGTTTTTTGAGCAAAGTAGTAACATTATTAGACAAAGGTCTTAGGAAAATTATTTTGGCAGTTATGTAGAGGATGAATTAGTAACAAGAAAGACTAGAAGCAGAAATACCAGTCAAGTAGTTTTTAATCTTTAATCTTCATTTTAATTTTCAGTTCCAAATTCTCTCTCTCCCTCCACCTCCTTCCATACCCATTGAGAAGGCAAGCAATATGATACCCATTATGCATAAGTCATGCTAAACATAGTTCTACATTAGCTATATTGTAGGGGAGGAGAGGGAAACAGAAAAAGTAAAGTGAAAAAATATACTTCAATCTGCACTCAGACTTCATCAATTCTTTCTCTGGAAGTGAATAACATTTTTCATCATGCATCCTTTGGAATTACTGTGGATCTAATCTATTCCACTAATCAACTACTCTATTTCTTATTCAGTACTAGATTGTTTTGATGATTACCACTTTGTACTATAGTTTGAGATCTGGTACTACTAAGCTGCCTTCCTTCACATTTTTTTCCCATTGATTCCCTTAATATTCTTGATCTTTTCTTCTTCCAGATGAATTCTGTTATTTTTTTCTAGCTGTATAAAATGATTCTTTGGTAGTTTGATTCATATGATACTGAACAATTAAATTAATTTGGGTAGCATTATCATTTTTATTATATTAGCTTGGCCTATCTATGAGCAATTAACATTTCTTCAATTATTTAGATCTGTCTTTTTTGTGTAAAGTGTGATTTGTAATTTTGTTTTTATAGTCACTGTCTTCTTCTGAGTTTGTGCCTTTACCTTCCCTGTCACCATAGTAACTTTTTATGGTCAGGTTCTTTTTTGTTGTTGTTGTTTGCTCATTTTTACAGCCTATTTCTTAACTTCAGAAATTGTGATAGATTTGGGGTCTGCTCTTACCATTGCGGGGTGGGGTTACTATCCTAAACCTTAGGCTTTTATGTCCTGCTGTTTTCATAGCGAAGTCTGGGGGCCTGTAAGTTTTCAGTATTTTGGAGGTGGTGTGATCTAGGGATAGGTGTGGTCAATGCTCTCCTGGTCTACACCCTGGTCCTTGATAAGGACCTCTATTCATTCATGATCACAACTCCTCTCCACCCTGGAACTATAATCTGTACCCAGGTGGGGCCTCTGTTTCCTTGCAACTTGCAAGATCTCCTCTCTGCCCTGGAAAGCAAACCCAGGATTGGTAATGGGTAATGGAATTGCCAAGTGGTCCCCGGTCTTGCACTCAGTGTTAGTATAGTGATTCCCTATAAACTTTCTGACCAGGTGCTCAATTCCCTTACAGCTAGGCACTGAGTACTTCTGGTAACCCGAATGAGGTTGCTCCTACCTCCAGTGCCCACAGCCCCTGCAATTTTGGCTGTACTATATCTAACCCCAACCACAGTGTCCAAAGACCTTTTTTTCTGTCCTCCTAAGGTCTTCTGGGCAGGAAAAAAATGGTTCACTGTGACTTTTTGTTGTTTATGGTTCTTAGAATTCAATTTGATGCACTTTTAAATGTTGTTTACAGGGAAATTTGGGGAGAGCCCAGAACAAATGCTCACTTCACTCTACCATCTTGGTTCTGCCCTATCAATCAGATAGCTTTTATAGTTATCCAGACGAGATGTTAGGATCTGAACTAGAATTGTGGCTACCATGTGAATGGAAAGAAGGGGAGAGATATGAGAAATGCTGTGAAGGCAGAACGAATAAGATTTGGCAAATGACTGGTTGTATAAATGAACAGAGGAATCCTAGGATGTGAAGCTTAGCTTGATGGTGTCTTCAACAAAAATCAGAAAGTTTTGATGGAGGCAGGCTTAGTGGGATAGATAATTAGTATTGTGTTGAAAAGATTGATCTTGAGATGTCTATGGACATTCAGAAGGGAATATTTTGCAGACCATTGTTAATACATGACTGGAGTTCAAAGAAGAGAATGGGGCTGGATAATATATGCTTGGAAATCAAGATAATATTGGCACCTATGGAAACTGATGAGATCACCAAAAGAGAAATTGGAGAGAGGGAAGAGAAAGGATCAAACTGGATGGTCTATTGGTTTTGATCCAATGTGGCATTTCTTATGTTTTGGGGTAAAGCCATTGACATTCTAGATAACACAGAAAATTAACAAATTCACACATGAACAAATCATTCAGCATTATACTGGCAATTTACAGAAATATGTCATCCCTAGAAATGAACCAAAGCATTACACACCTTTTGGAATATTTCAGTATGAAAATTCTAATAGAAATTTTTTGCTCCAATTATATACATCTCACAATATAAAGAAATAAAACAACATTCTGTTTTCACTATAAGCTCGAACTGAGATAGGTTGCATGCAATAAATGACATGAGCCCAGTATTTATTTGGTAATTCTGATTTCCTTTGGAAAATAACAAAATTTTTGCCTTAATTTGTAAATTAATCTTTGAAAAGTATTTCTTGTCTAAGACAGAGCTAAAGTGGATAGGGGATATTTTTGACAATTTTTAATACGGAAAATATTTAACCTATTACTTCATATAAATTATTTTAAAAAGACAACCCCTTTATTATGCAATTGAATCCTATGAAAATTAAAATTAGCTCACAGATATCTACAGAACTCAGGAGTGTAAAACAGTTTTCTTTTAAGAAAGAAAATAAGATGGTCACTGATTACCTGTGTATGGCTTTTAAATGTTGCTCAATCTTAGCAAGTTTCTTCCAATATTCCTCTGTAAATTTAAAAAACTCCTTAAGGATTGAAGATTTCAAATCAGGATACGGGCATCTCAAAGTTTGTAACTCTAAAGGGAGTTCATGAGACTCATTTTTTTCTTCTGAAGGATGAGTTAATGCCTGCAAAGGAACCCTTTATCATTTATTTAATACAAATGAGTTAATTTGTTTCATGTTAATCCCATTCATAATTGAAGTGTTATCTCCAGTATACTTACTTTTATTCCAGAATCTGTAAGCTCCTGTTCCAAAAGCATTTGTTCATGGGCAAGTCTTCTAGAAATAGTCTTCAACTGTTTCTTTACTAATTCAACCTATTTGATATTTAGTACAATTTAATTATTATAGTTTTATCAATGATATGATGATACATCTAACTATAAATGAATATATAGAGACAGAGAGTTGCCCTCAGAGCTAGGACAACCTGGCTTCAAGATCTGCCTCCCTGGGCAAACTGCTTAACCTCTCAGTGAATCCAGACAACCTCCTAAGACTATAAACTGTCATTTACATTAGTAGTAGTAGTAGTAGTAGTAGTGCATTAATACTAATGCACACATTAGGAGTTTTCTTACAAAGGACTTCTTTACGTTAATGAAATCATAGGTCTAGATGAAATATATACATATATGCTTCAAATATATGCATATATTCATATGCAAAATATACATGCAGAAATATGTATGCACACATACATATATATCTTGTATATATAAATAACATGGCATATATGCATGCACATGCATTGACATACATGCATACATATTCACAAACAATGGCATTAGGAACCACTGCTATGAAACATGAGATTTGTAAGAGAAGAAACAGGCAGTTAGGCGGCACAGACTCATCTTCCTGAGTTCAAATCTGGCCCCAGACACTTACTAGGTATATGACCCTGAGCAAATCACTTAACTCTATTTGCCTCAGTTCCTCATTTGTAAAATGAGCTGGAGAAGTAAATGGCAAACCATTCCAGTGTCTTTGCCAAGAAAACCCCAAAAGGGGTCACAAGGAGTTGGCCACAACTGAAAAACAACTGAACAATAAAGAGAAGAAACAAAAAGGAACTTGGGAACAGGATATAGTAGCACATCAAGTGATTCTCAAAGATGCTTCTGGACACAGGAACCAAAAGTGGGACTTACATTCACGTACAATGTTTATGAAAGTTCCCAGCAGAATCCAGGTTATGCTGCAGCAAAACCTAGCAGAACTGTTTTGCTACTAGCAAAACAGACCAAGAGTTGAGGATGAAGGAGTGGGGTGGGAGTAATCCACTCTTAAATATTCACTACTGCCAATCAATTATTTCCACCTCCATTTTCTGCATGGATTTCCAGTTATAACCCCCGGGCTTCTATTTGCATGGAATATCTGTGCAGCCAAACATTTGTGTTTTGTTTTATGTCTCTTTGTCCTATTCAGCTATAGTGCATATAAACAAGGGTGAAGGAACTTCTAGGTGTCCTGTAGTACAGGTAACCATCTAATGCATGCTCTGGAATCCAGGAACAACTACCTAATTTCAAAATCTCTAGAGATTCCACAATTTCCTGAAGTATAACTAGATGCCTCTATTTTGAATGTCAGTATAGAAGAAAAAGATACCTGTATTAAGTTGTTCTAATCACAGACAAAAATATAAACCAGCATTTTTCAAATGTAAGTACAAGTCCTAACCTCTTCTATCATCTTGTGTGCATCAAGCACATTTTCGGATGAGGATGGGTCTGAAGTATCATACAGCAACTCAGATTTACATTTCAGATCTTCCTTCAACTGGCAGATAGGTTCTAGTACATTCTGTAGATATTTATCCCAGTCTTCTGATAATGCAAGTTCTATAAGAAAAAGACAAAATTCCCTCAATGAAATTCACAGGGATGTTTTGCCAAGTTTCCTTTCAGAAAGAAGAAGCCGAAATTCAATTTTATTTTGTGATTGTCCTGGTAAAAACAAACAGAAATGTATATTTTTTTCAATGAATACATGAAGTGACCATGAGTAGGGTGAAAATGAGTTCCTCCTAAAAATAATATAAGAAAATTCTCACCAAAATCCTTGAGGTTGAAAAGAAATTCATTTTCAGTGTTCTCTTCGTCAAGAAAACTTCTAATTTCAGATTCTGTTTTACATCTGAAATGGAAAAAAAATTAGAACAATTTTTAAAATACAACCAGATAGAATTTTTAAAATCCTGTTAAAAATACAATATATATAATGTGCTTTGATTAATTCTACAATAATTCTAAATATGACTTTTATTTATATTATTAATATTACTTATATATTTGCACTTGATTTTAAAGGCCCTTTAAGTCGATTAATGCTAAAAAAAAAAGCAAAGTATCTACTATTTACATTCAATAACTTGCTGAGTAAAATTTATCCAGATTTCAATGGAAATCCTGGGATATACTAGTTTATCTTCATGCCCTAAGGCATGATGGTGATGGTGACGATGATGATGATGTTAAAGTCTGAGATAAAATCTCAAGTACAGAATAAAAAATAAGCAAATTCTTGCTTGTCCTTTGTTTTCAAAGAGAACCAATGACCTCAGAGGGTGATGACTTGTATGTGAATTGGATTTAAGTGAAGCAGAGTTGCACAATGTCATCAACCTCTTCCAGAGTCATTGAAGTCCAATGGCAAGAAAAAGTCAGGAGGACTAGCAGTAGCTCAGGATGCAGTAGATGACATTGGAGTTTTCAATGTCTGACCAAGCACTAAGCACTCTACAGCACCTGCTTCAGCCACCTTCATGGCTGTTGGAACAAATTGTTCTTATCCACCCATTTTGCTAAGAAAAGTCTTCACATGCTTGGAGTAGATATCCCCCTAAATCACTGACAGTTCTGAGGTCTGTTGATTACCCTCAACCTAGTTTAGCCTGTCTTTGGAGACAGTTTTGCTGAGGTGTGGCTGCTGCACATGTTACAGTTTCTTGGAGCCACAGGTGAGAGTTGGTGGACAGGTGGACACCAAAAGTGGATGAGTAGCTCTCACACCCCTGAACACCCCATAAACCTCATTAACAATTAAAATTTGTATTGCCAAGCACTCTGCAAATATAAAGGAATTATTATTTCTTTTCAGCAACTCAGGATTGATTAGTAGTATGCTTCCAGTATCAGAGCTCTGAATTAGGCACAGATTGCTTAAAAATGGGATCAAGCCAAACAATCAGTCTGCAGCAGGATCAGGGTGACAATTATTCCTAAAGGCTGACATGCACCAGAGCTTAAGTTAGTTCATTGGTTAATCTACCCTAGAGGCAGAAGTCTCCTTTAAAATGCCTTAAAAATGAATGGCATAGGGGCAGCTAGGTGGCGCAGATAGAGCTCTGGCCTTGAAGTCAGCAGGACCTGACTTCAAATCTGATCTCAGACACACAACACACAACATGTACTAGCTGTGTGACCGTGGGCAAGTCACTTAACCCCAATTGCCTAGCCAAAAAAAAAAAGTAAAAAATAAAATGAATGGCATCTGACACCCATATAGAAGCTTACATTTGCAAAGAGCTTTCACATTTTTTTTTATTTGATCCACACAACAAACTTTTGAGGTAAGAACCAGGAAAAATTTTTCCACTTCAAAAAAAGAAAAAAGATAAATTTTTTAAAAATGATAAAAAACGGCACCGTTCCTAATCTTAATCCTGAATTGTTTAGGATGAAAGAATGCAGCCTAGAAGAGAGCTCCATTTGAGCTTTAGCTCATTCAGAGCTCTCCTTGATTTAATGAGTCTTGTTTTAGTCTTCCCTGCCTGCCTAGAACTTTGACAATCCAGACTTATTCGACAATGAATCTTGGAGACTTTAAGGAAGCCAACTAAGAAGAAATGGCTGTGAACAGGAGGCTGTGAGGACATACAGCTATTCATTATTCCCTGCAAGAGAATAGCCTTGGGGCCAGCATTAGTTGTTGTGAAAGTTGGAAACCATCCTCCAAAACAAAACAAAACAAAAAACCCACAGATGAAGAGCTAATGTTTGTGTAAACTGTGTGGGAGTCTAAAACTGATTGTGGCATTGAAAGAGCAGTTTAGTAGTTGTGTAGAAAGAGAAAGAAACTCAGAAGAACAAGGTGATGTAACTTGGAGAAATATTTGACCATGAGGACTTGGAAACAGTGACTGAGAGAGTAGTCAGTATTTATAGGAGAGAAAAAAAGAGGGCAAATGCCCAAGCGAAATGGTAAGTACCAGGGCAAATAAGGAGCTGGTGCATCTCTGCTTTGCACTGAACACGGGTTTGAGAGGGAGTAAATGTGGAGAGAGGGCAGCAACTTTGATTCTAAGTCACTTCTTATCCCTATGAACTCTTCACCAGCAGCAGGAGCTGAATTTGGTCCTCCAATGAAGACAGGAACTTTGCCTATTGGGGCAGTATTCAAAGAAATGTCCCATAATGTTGTTCCTCCTCCACCACCAGTGATTCAAGTACTTTCTTGAGGCTTCTCCCAGCCTCTAGATAAGTTGTCTGGTGCGGCCCTAGTCACAGAGTGGGTGCAGGTATTTACTACCAACCTCAAAAAGACTCAGCAGGAGTTTTGAAAAGCAGACTGCTTGTACCAACACAAGGCTAACCTGAGGAGTGAGGATTGAAGACAGAGGATTGAGATCCTGAAGGGCACTTGTTTACCAACATGGAGGAATATGTGCCTAACAAAAGAGCTGGAAATGTGTTCAGTAGCTTAGAGGCCTGTTGTCCCAGCTCATTGTTAAGACCTGTTATATTTTTCCAAGGAGGACAGACCGTGGCATCTTCGATTTAGGGTTAAAGATTCCCTCCATCTAGTTCAAATCCTTCATTTTACATATGAGGAAACTGAAGTCTGAGAGGCTGGGTAACCCGGCCAAGGCCTCATAGTCCACAAGTGGCAAAGCAAGGACTCAAACCTTCATCCCCTGACTCGAGGTCCCAGGTGCTTTCCACTGCACAACTAAAGAGGAAGCAGCAATGCTGGTAATTGCAGTGACCAAGAAATGGCTTTGAAAGGAATCCCTAAGCCAGGCTAGGAACTAATGGCTCATACCAACCATGGGTCTAAGGAAAAGATCAACAGAGCAGGGAAGCCTAGGCCCAAGGACCAGAGGAGGGGCCAACACTGAAGCACAAAGATATGGCATAGAGGAACAAAACTATACGGTGCCCTTCACTGTTACTGAGAGCCATGAGAACTGTGTAAGTCCAGAGGAGGTCAACTTCATGTTCTCTGCCTCAACCTGAGGGTGGCACTGCAAAGCTGGAACAACTCTATAGATCCCTGAGGATGGTGGGCTACTTGGCTCCCTAGTACAGAATAAGAAAGGTATAGTGAAAAACATCAGTGTGTTTGAAAGGGATCTAGGTGATTTAGGGGACTGTAAGCTCAATATGAGTCAGCATGTGATGCAGCAATCCCCCTATCGAGATGCAGCTAGATGGTACAGTGAGATAGAAGGACCTGAAGTTAGGAAGACCTGATTTCAAATCTGGCCTCTGACCCTTAACTGGCTATGTAACCTTGGAGAAGTTACTTAACTTCTGTTTGCCTCCATTTCATCATCTGTACAATGGGGATAATAATAGCACTTACCCCTGAAGGTTATTGAGAGGATAAAATGAGATAAATTGGTTAAACACTTTACAAATCTTAAAGTGCTATATAAATGCTATTTTATCATCATCATCCTTTTTCAGAATAATATTATGAAAGGAATAATATTCTTGTTCCTTTAATAATCATATTATTACAGTTATAAGAATGTGATAGGCTATCTGTACACTGATGGTTAAACCGCATCTGGATAACTGTGTTTCATTCTGGGCATCATAATTTAAGGAGGACACCTTAAGCTGGGCAGCAACCAGAGAAGGACAGCCAAGATAGTGAAGAGCCTTGGGTTCGTGTCATATAAGAATAGATCAAAGGAAATTGGATAGTTTAGCCTGGAGAAGAGGGGATGTGATAGCTGTCTTTAAGTGTTTGAGGGGCTCCTATGTGAAGGACAGATTAAATTTGTCATATCTGACTGCAGAGGACAGAACAAAGAGCTGTGGAGGAAAGTTACAAAGAGGCAAATTTAATTTGATTTAGGAAAACTTGATGTAAGATTTCCTACAGATTTGAGTTGCCCAAAAGTAGAACGGACTGCCTTGGAGGAAGTAGGCAGATGCCTCTCATTAGAGGTCATCTAGAAGAGTTTCCCAAGGCATACAGGAGAATAAACTTATTACATAGCAAAGAATACAGAAAGGACCCATAACCAAGCCCACAGATAATTAAGAAAAGTTTGTCCTTGGCAGACCTACTTTCTCTAAGCATTTGGGGGCCACAGCTGGTTTGGAGGCACCCCCCACATCCCCACCTCTTGTCAAGCTAGTTACAGTGAGGATTCTTCTTTAGTTATGAATCAGACTGATTGGTTCCTGGGATCCCTTACTCTAAAATTCTATAATTCTGTTAATACTAAGTTCTCTTCCCATATTGGGGCAGGGGAAGGTATCTCCAACCCAGCTATGGTTCCCCCAGATCTTAGAGAAAATAGGTCTACATAGGGAGAAACTTTCCTTAACTATCTACAGGTTTGACAAGGGTCCTTTCTGTATTCTTTGCTATGTAATAAATTTATTCTCTGTAACCCTTGAGAGTCTCAATTGCTTGTAATAGAAAAATGAATAACCCCCAAGGCAGAGGTCAAAACAACTCATACCAGTTATTTTTAAAGATGACTTCTAGGTAGGGACAAACATAAACCAAGGGAGATTATTCACTGTTGAGAAAACTCTGAGATACAAACTGGAGTCTGGTTGAGTGTAGAGCTTCAGTGATGGCTCCAAAGTTATAATCTTATAACACTTTTTTGAATCAGGCATTGTCTGGGCTCTTAATATTCTGTTTGGGGCAAAGAGTAGCCAGGCACTGATGACCTAGGGCATGAAGAATGTACTGCTGTGCACGGCAGTAGGATTCCAGTAACACTGGCTTGTCATGAAGGCAGCTTCTCTTCTCTCTGTCACTCTGGAGGCAGTGGTGGAATCAGTGCAAAGCTTAGGGAAGGAACTTGGATTTCAAACATTCATTGCTAGCTTCTTAGAGTGACAAAATCCCCTAGGGCAGGTCATAGCACCTACTTCTCCAAATTT